ATATATCTGGAACACCTGGCTCATGTGGTTGTGTATTCTACATCACTATGAACATTTTAAGATATTTTTGGGCATACTACAATTATACTTCATACAGGTATGGTCATTTAAAATTGTCCAATAAGACCCCATTGAGTTGTTTGGCAGCAATATTGGAAAAAGGCTTCTGTGGGGTTAATGTGTGAATTCTCTGATGGCCCTGTATCTACAAATCTTTTTAATATCTAGGCCTAGCTGTGTGTGTGCAATTTGCTGCCTCTATCAAAGTTAGAATACATCAAACATAGCTGTCCCTTTACATGGAATTCTATGGCTAAGCTTTCAACATTCTAATGTCAATGGCACATACGGCCGTTTATTAAATTTTTTTTACAATACTTGTAGCTGGTCATTTCAAAGTTGGATATATCATTTGAAAGGTAATTTCATTACCTTTCAGAACCACTTGTCAAAGTTTTAAATGTATCATGCTTTCCTTTTTAAAGCCATTTATACAGGTAATTCTGATATGTAACATAGAGGTCAAAGTTCTGTTGACCTGAACATTTTGAAAAATGTGTCTGCTGGATAGCTGTGACTCTAAGCTTTCCAATGATATATATAATTGAAGGGTATAAGTGAGCAATAACTTGTTGTATGACATTGTTTGTCATAGGGTAAAATGAATGGGATGGGGGGATAAAAAACAGTGACAACACAGAGAAAGCTGCTATAGCCGAGTCGGTATTCATGTCATAGGAAGGAATTCCCCTCTACCACGCCCACAAATTGGGGCAAACAAACATTCTTTCCAATAGACCTACATTGTAAAAGAGCCAACTTCATTGTTAATTATTTGTTATACAGAAATAACAAAACATGCTGAAAAGCTGCTAGGTAACCAGGTAAAAATTCCCCACCTACGGTTCGCAATGCAACCATGTAGGGAAATAGAGCCTGCGAGAAAAGCCCTGTGGCTTCAGGCTATTCAGCGTGGGAAATGTGGGGACCCAGTGTCCATGTAGGCTACATGTAGCTAATGTATGTATGTGGAAAACATTTAATCACAGGTAAGACCTGTTTAGTATAGTCAGTTTGTAACTCCATTCACTACTTGCAGCTGTATAGTCTGTTTTTTGGGGGGGGGTAGATCAGCTTTAATATTGCAGATAGATTGTAGCTTCTATCAATGTAATTGTCTGCATCACTTCCAATCCCCCATATATGTTTTTGCAAATACATATACACATACATATATACACATACAGTGGCTTGCGAAAGTATTCACCCCACTTGGCATTTTTCCTATTTTGTTGCCTTACAACCTGGATTTAAAATGGATTTTTGGGGGGTTTGTATAATTTGATTTACACAACATGCCAACCACTTTGAAGATGCAAAATATTTGTTATTGTGAAAGAAGCAAGAAATAAGACAAAAAAAAACAGAAAACTTGAGCGTGCATAACTATTTACCCCCCCAAAGTCAATACTTTGTAGAGCCACCTTTTGCAGCAATTACAGCTGCAAGTCTCTTGGGGTATGTCTCTATAAACTTGCCACATCTAGCCACTGGGATTTTTGCCCATTCTTCTAGGCAAAACTGCTCCAGCTCCTTCAAGTTGTATGGGTTAGGCTGGTGTACAGCAATCTTTAGGCCATACCACATATTCTCAATTGGATTGAGGTCTGGGCTTTGACTAGGCCATTCCAAAACATTTAAATGTTTCCCCTTAAAATTATATGTTTTTAATCCGGTGTCGTTTTGCGTATCAGTTCATAAACCATGTGCCATGGAATCGATATGTCAAAATCTCTTCCCAACTATTTTGTAATCTATATGGCACAGCTGTCCATTTTTTGGTCCTTAAATGAAACTGGTATACTTTTTATTTATCACAATTTTCTTTAACCAATTATGGTCTTTAATGCAGGGCCGACAGACAAGTTCCTTACTTTTTCCCCCTTCCTCTTTCCTCTTCAATTTTTGCGGTAATGCTGCAATTAGTTGGTTGTAATTTTGGATAGAGCAGACATTTCCATATGTTTTTGTTAGCTGCATGTGCGACAACTCCACCAGTCCTACCTATGATATCATCTACAAAGATTATACCTATTTATTTTTTTTTTTTAAGGAAAATGTGTTTATCAATTTGTATATTTGAGTTTAACCACAACATTTTTGTATTATTTGTTCTGTCGTTTCTGGTGGATGAAATTGAAATTGCAACTAACTTTTTATGGCTTCTTTTAGAAATAATGATATTTGGGAGATTTCCTTTTCAAATAACTGAAAGTGAGAGGTTGTACTCTGAATAAAGGGAAAACGGCCATTCTTGAACATAGGGAGAGACATTCTTACTAATTTGCTAGAGAACCAGTTCGGATTTAAGTATAACTACTGTATGACTGAAGCCTTTAATGAGAGGTCTAATGGTTTAATATTTAATAATTTCTGCCCTCCGAATTCATATTCATTATACAAATAGGCCTGTTTAATTTTGTCTGGCTTGCCGTTCCAAATAAAATGGAATATTTTTCTCATATAATTAAAAAACTGTTCACTATGTTTAGGCAAGACCATGAGCAAATGGATATTACTAAAGCGTTAATCAGGGTGATTTTTCCACAAATAGACACATATTTACCTTTCCATGGTAGCAAGATCTTATCTATTTTTGCAAACTTTCTATGAACATTTATTGGAGTGAGATCATTTAATTTATTTCGGGATATGTATACAGAGTATATCCACATCACCATCAGACCATTTTATTGATAAACTACACGGTAATGTAAAAGTTGTATTTTTTAGTGATCCAATACGTAATATAGTACACTGGTTGTAATCCAGAGAGGTTAGAAAATGTATCTAGGTCCTCTATGAGGCTGTGGAGGGATCCAAGTTGTGGATTTAAGAGACAATATGAATCATCAGCGTACAATGACACCTTTTGTTTTTAAGCCCTGGATTTCTAATCCCTTGATATTATTGTTGGATCTGATTTGAATAGCTAACATTTCGATGGCCCTAATAAATAGATATGCCGATAGTGGACAACCTTGTTTTACTCCTCTTGACAGTTAAAATTTTCGGAGAAATAGCCATTATTTACTATTTTACACCTAGGGTTACTATACATGATTTTAACCCATTTAATGAGAGATTCAACAAAATTGAAATGTTCCAGGCATTTATATATAAACTCCAGTTGTACTTTATCAAAAGCCTTTTCAAAGTCAGCTATGAATAGCAGGCCTGGTTTCCCAGATTTGTCATAGTGTTCTATTGTTTCCAGTACTTGCCTTATTTTATCTCCAATGTATCGTCCATGTAAAAAACCTTTCTGATTAGGATGAATAATGTCCGACAATATCTTTTTTGTTCTATGCACTATACATTTTGCTCTAATTTTTGCATCACAACACTGAAGTGTAAGGGGCCTCCAATTTTTTTAATGGACTGGATCTTTATATTTCCACTTGTATCCTGTTTCAGTAATAATGAAATCAGACCTTCTTGTTGAGTGTCTGATAATCTACCATTTACATAGGAGTGGTTAAAACATGCTAATAACGGTCCTCTGAGTATATCAAAAAAGGTTTGGTATACCTCAACTGGTATGCCATCAAGCCCTGGAGTTTTCCTGGACTTAAAGGCTTTAATTGCATCAAGAAGTTCCTCCTCTGTAATTTCGCCTTCACATTAGTCTTTCTGTACGGCTGTTAATTTTACATTATCAATAGAAGAAGAAAAAAACATACAATTAGCTTCGGTTAGAGAGATGGAGGAGACTGAAACAAAAACATGTGGTGCATTTTCCCCCATATTCCATCCAATTTACTTTATTTTTTATAATATATTTCACTTGATCTTCTTGAATAAGTTCCTCCATTTCTTTTTGTTTTTCCTCTAACTTATTCTGAGCCTCTATGGTACAGTTTTTATTGCCATCTATCTGTTCTGTTAGACCTCCTATTTCCTTTGTTAGTATGGACTCTTTTGACCTAAATTGCTTTTGTTTTCGAGATGAGTACTGAATTGCATGGCCTCTAAAGGCACATTTAAAAGTGTCCCATACAATAAGGGGATTTGCTGTACCTATGTAATGTCTGAAAAATGCAGTTATAAATTCCTCTCCTAGTTAAAAATAAGTTATCATCCAATAGGCTTTGATTAAATGTCCAATATCCTCGCCCACGTGGAAATTCAGTAAGAGTAATGTATATGCCTATTAGCTGATGGTCCGTTTGTTTGTGTTGTTGGTCTTGGCTAGCATAATGTTCCGGTCGGTAGCTAGCACTCACTCACGTGGCTAGCACCATCATGAAAAGGGGCATGAGGGAAGCCCTACAATATTAGGTTTTTCTAAGTAGTGAGACAACGCTCGGGAGCAGGCAATGTTGAAAAGTAATCTTTAGACATGTTGTACTTTTCTTAAATTTAGTTTTGTAATTGACTAAAACAAGCAGTCACATTTTTGCTGTGAGTCAATGGGGTAACCTAGGTAACCACAGGTTGTTTCCCCACAGGTGGGCGGGGCCGCAATGTTCTATCTAATACCGACTGGCATGATTGCTGCACTGCTATCACACATTTTCCAACTCTAGGGACATAAACCTTCAAAAAAATCACTGAGATGTCTTTGGCCCAAGTGAGCCTAAATGTCAAACCAGTTGGAGAACGTTCCTAGAACATGACCAAAATTGAAATGAAAGGTAACCTTGTTTTGAACTTTTAGAAAACATTTTGTTAAAGTAATGAAATACCAAGAAAATAATGTTATTTTGTGAAGTTCTTAAATGTGCTGAGAATGTTCCAAAGCCAAACAACTATCCTGCACCATTCCCAGAAAGTTGTGGGTAGGTTGTATGCAAAATTACCATAGGGCAACCACGCCCTAAGAAACATATGGTTCCCAGAATGTTATGTGTGCTAGCTTTTTCCAGTGAGAAACATTAAGCAAGGAGACACATCCACTTGTGCACATTACCAATCTTCTCTCTCATCCCCCTCTTCATCCTCTCTCTCATCCTCTCTCTCATCCCCTTCTTCATCCTCTCTCTCATCACCCTCTTCTTCCTCTCTCTCCCCTGTAGCTTTCAGATGCTCTGGGTGTTGGACCGGGCTGTCCAAGCCAGACCAACCAGCAGAGTGGTGGGGGCATGTGGCCCGGTGGGCAGCCCAACCAGCCAACATGGCCAGGACAGCCTGGTGGTCAACCAGCTTGGCCTGGTCAGCAGCAGCCAGGCCAGCCTGCCCCCATGTGGCCTGGACAACAACCAAACCCTTCCCAATCCTCATGGCCCGGACAACCAGGAGGGGGCCAGCCCAGCTGGCCAGGGCAGCCAGGAGGGGGACAGCCCAGCCAGCCAACCTGGCCAGGGCAGCCAGGAGGGGGACAGCCCAGCCAGCCAACCTGGCCAGGGCAGCCAGGACAGCCTAGCCAACCTACTGCACCCGGATGGCCAAGCCCAAGCCCCGGTCCAGGCCCTGCCCAACCAACTGCTCCACAACATAGTTCACTGGTAAGAGAAGACATTAAATCCTGAGGATGTTGGTTATGACGGTTTGAAAAACCATGAGCAAGGTTCTGCATGGTTCAGACCTATCTTTGTGACAGATTAGCCGTCAAGACCTCTACTCAGACATTGGTGTAAGCTTGTCCTAATGACACTCAAATGGTTTTGGCTGTTTTCATTTGCTGTTTTCAACAAACCCATTTTATTTCCCCAACAGAAAGTGCCATATGACCTGAACCTGCCAAATGGATGCTACGACAAGATGCTGATCACAATTCACGGGACAATTAACCAAAATGCCAAAATGTCAGTATTCACAGCAAAATCTAGTTTCCGTGGTAAATTGTGAAGATCTACATTGCAGCTATTTCCACCCTTTGATTCTAAATGTTGCGCTGTTATTTCAGTCTTGTAGCCAGCAGTAGGTACTCAAATGGCTTGCCCTTCCTTGATATGTTGCCTGCAAACTTCTTATACTATAACCTGGGTACTAGTCTGTTTGTGCCATCATACCACTCCTTGCCACTTGTCATGACAAATATCATGTATGACATGACAAGGAGTTGGAATGATGACACAAACAGATCTGGGACCTGGCTACTTCTACTGCTACTCTCAATCTAATAAGGACTAAAGTCTAATCAAATACAGACGGTTGATCCTTTGTTCTTCAAAGTGTGTGATACATAAATATCTACCTCACGATGTAAACAGAGACTAATAGAAGTTGGATGAGAGGATTTAGATAATCAAGCTCTGGGTAGTAAACAAATATAGGTTAATGTCAAATTTAAATCAATGAGGCCCCTTTGAAAGAGGTTGGCAGATAGTAATCGCAATAGAGTGTCTTGACATCATTATTTCTAATCCTCAACTGATTACATTTTCACTAATGTAAGGACAATGGGTGAGAATAGAACAAATGATCTGTGATGAATTCAATACCAGATGATACCAATCACTTTAAAGTCAAGAGTAAGCCTACAGTAACTATGGCCACAATCTCAAAGAGCTCACACATCACCATGGAAAACATCTCTGAGTGCTGTTGAGCATATGGCTCATAGAACACACACACATTCATCACAAAACATAATGACTTGTAATCGACACTACTAAATAAATGCATTGATGACGTAAACATCACAAAATCCAAGGTTTACCACCATGTTATTAGCTTGGTCCCAAATATGTTTGTGCTCTTGAAACTGCATTGCTCATTGTCAAGCCAAACAAATTGTTTGAAAAGAAAATGAGTGACAAGGAGTTGGCATGAACACTGTTATGTATCTCCCTGTAGGTTCACCATCAATCTGACCAAAGGAAATGACATTGCCATGCACATCAACCCACGCTTTAATGACCAGGGAAAGAAAACAATTGTGTTGAACAGTCAGATAGGCAATAAATGGGGAAAAGAGGAGAGAGAGCACAAACACTTCCCCTTCACTCAGGGCCAACCCTTTGAGGTGAGGAATCTATCTTCCGGTTTACTTCATGTCAACCAATCAGTTTTAAAACCATGATGGCCGGGGTCCATTGAGAATTAGACTGTGTCCCAAATGGCACCCCCCTATATAGTGCACTACTTTTGAACAGAACATGCTTTGGTCAAAAGTAGTGCACTAAATAAGGAATAGGTTGCAATTTGGGACACATACATAGACACTCCTGTATTCATCTGAAGATATTTTCAGTTGTATGATTTTTATGATGATTAAAAATAATTTATAACATATTAAAATGTTATTCATGATCAATAGATCATGTTTTACAATGAATATATTAATATAAATTTACATTTCAGTCATATCTTATCAACACAGTCTTTGATTTTGCATAATAATTAGTTTGTGGTCCTGTGTTTCTCCAGATGAAGATCATGTGCACTAACAGTGAGTTCAAGATGGCAGTGAACAGCTCACACATCCTGGAGTTCAAACACCAAATCCGTGACCTCCACTCCATCAAACACCTGGGCATCTATAATGATGTCACCCTCACGTCTGTGGAGATTGACAAACTCTAAGATCTAGCAGGGTTGGTTCCAGCCAAAGAAATAGAATGACCAGAATAGCCAAAGTCCCTCAGGTTCTATTTTTATGGTTCCAGTGACCTTCCATCATTGGCTTTCAACAGAAACATATAGTAGCTTGAATCTCAAGCTTTAACCCAGTAGGACTACCATCATATTCTGTACTTCTACTAAGCCGGTATATTCTCTGTGTGGAAATACTCAAGTGGAAAAATATATTTTCTTAGTCTTTTGATAAAGGACAAAACATCAACAACTTTTAATTTACAAATTCATCGGTTTTAAGCCTGGATAGGTACATACATTTTAATGTAATCCTTTTGCATATTAATAAGTAAGCAAGGGATCCATACAGTAAAAAACAAACGATATCCAATAAAAATCCAATGTTAGACTCAAACATATTTTTTCATTGAATGATTTCTCTTCCTCCAGATACAGGGCGATGTACAGTATGTGTTTTGAGCGATTGTTATTGTTGTATAACCTTTCCCACTAGGTGGCACAGTTGAGACTGTTGAATGTTTGAGAACCACAACAAGCCTAGTGTTTGGATAGGCTGTGGCAAAACAAACATTACCTAGGCTACCTATACCACCCAGTAGTAGATACATTTGAGAACACTAAGGTCTATTACCACTTAACATATAGGCTATTATTACTTTGCATTAGTGAATGAAGGACTGTCAGTAAAATCCTGTAAACATACTTTCAAAGCTCATGAGAGAGTTCGCTTGTTGGTAATGTCATGATGTCATGCACCATCTTTCTATAGTGTTTCCATAAGCAATGATTATCTTATTTCCATTACCAGCCATCAGCACTTAACATGTTTATTCAGGGAGGAGAGTGTCAATGTCTATGAGTGATATTACTGTTGACAATCATATCTCAAATGAAGCAAATGTGACTTTATTTACACAAAGACCACATTGACTGAATCAACACGGAATCTTTTCACTAGTAGCCACTAAACAAAATATGAGGACTATGAGGAGACTTACAGTGGGGGAAAAAAGTATTTAGTCAGCCACCAATTGTGCAAGTTCTCCCACTTAAAAAGATGAGAGAGGCCTGTAATTTTCATCATAGGTACACGTCAACTATGACAGACAAAATGAGGAAAAAAAATCCAGAAAATCACATTGTAGGATTTTTAATGAATTTATTTGCAAATTATGGTGGAAAATAAGTATTTGGTCAATATCAAAAGTTTCTCAATACTTTGTTATATACCCTTTGTTGGCAATGACACAGGTCAAACGTTTTCTGTAAGTCTTCACAAGGTTTTCACACACTGTTGCTGGTATTTTGGCCCATTCCTCCATGCAGATCTCCTCTAGAGCAGTGATGTTTTGGGGCTGTCGCTGGGCAACACGGACTTTCAACTCCCTCCAAAGATTTTCTATGGGGTTGAGATCTGGAGACTGGCTAGGCCACTCCAGGACCTTGAAATGCTTCTTACGAAGTCACTCCTTCGTTGCCCGGGCGGTGTGTTTGGGATCATTGTCATGCTGAAAGACCCAGCCACGTTTCATCTTCAATGCCCTTGCTGATGGAAGGAGGTTTTCACTAAAAATCTCACGATACATGGCCCCATTCATTCTTTCCTTTACACGGATCAGTCGTCCTGGTCCCTTTGCAGAAAAACAGCCCCAAAGCATGATGTTTCCACCCCCATGCTTCACAGTAGGTATGGTGTTCTTTGGATGCAACTCAGCATTCTTTGTCCTCCAAACACGACGAGTTGAGTTTTTACCAAAAAGTTCTATTTTGGTTTCATCTGACCATATGACATTCTCCCAAACCTCTTCTGGATCATCCAAATGCACTCTAGCAAACTTCAGACGGGCCTGGACATGTACTGGCTTAAGCAGGGGGACACATCTGGCACTGCAGGATTTGAAACCCTGGCGGCGTAGTGTGTTACTGATGGTAGGCTTTGTTACTTTGGTCCCAGCTCTCTGCAGGTTATTCACTAGGTCCCCCCGTGTGGTTCTGGGATTTTTTCTCACCGTTCTTGTGATCATTTTGACCCCACGGGGTGAGATCTTGCGTGGAGCCCCAGATCGAGGGAGATTATCAGTGGTCTTGTATGTCTTCCATTTCCTAATAATTGCTCCCACAGTTGATTTCTTCAAACCAAGCTGCTTACCTATTGCTGATTCAGTCTTCCCAGCCTGGTGCAGGTCTACAATTTTGTTTCTGGTGTCCTTTGACAGCTCTTTGGTCTTGGCCATAGTGGAGTTTGGAGTGTGACTGTTTGAGGTTGTGGACAGGTGTCTTTTATACTGATAACCAGTTCAAACAGGTGCCATTAATACAGGTAACGAGTGGAGGACAGAGGAGCCTCTTAAAGAAGAAGTTACAGGTCTGTGAGAGCCAGAAATCTTGCTTGTTTGTAGGTGACCAAATACTTATTTTCCCCCATAATTTGCAAATAAATTCATTAAAAATCCTACAATGTGATTTTCTGGATTTTTTTTCCTCAATTTGTCTGTCATAGTTGACGTGTACCTATGATGACAATTACAGGCCTCTCTCATCTTTTTAAGTGGGAGAACTTGCACAATTGGTGGCTGACTAAATACTTATTTTCCCCACTGTACACCACAGAGATAAATACTATAATTTGATTTATATTTATATTTGATTTCTCTCTGATTAAATCGTTTGAAGTCCCTTTACAAGAAGTGAACTGCTATTTTAGAGCTTATGCTGCTGGTGTCTATCATCAACTGTGTTTTTCTCCATTATGTCCGTCTTAAGCAATAAGTTACGTCACAATGTGGAAGAACTCGTAAAACAAACTCATACAGTTACAGTTACTCTCACATAACCGCCCTCTCTCAATCCATGTTCACAAACTTGTTATTACATTTACAGCCGTCGCTGTCCTCCACCAACCCACAGCAATGAGCCCCTCGCACTGTTAAGCTCACAAGATGAGACTGACAAGATGCATGTAGACACATGAGAAACATCCAGGGACATTTCCCCCCGCCCCAGCCCGTCCCCGCTTCTGGCATGCCTCTGGCTGTTGTCCATAATCTACCAGCCAGACCATGTCTCCTGATAATTACTTCCCCAACAATAACTGATAGTAGTGTGTCAGGTAGACAGGGCAGATAGGAAGGTCTGCGTACGTGTGTACACACTCTTAGAAAAAAGAACCAACTAAGTTTTTTTTCGGATGTCCCCATTGGAGAACACTTTGAAGAACCCTTTTTGGTTCCAGGTAGAGCTCTTCTGGGTTCCATGTAGAACACTGGAACCAAAACTGGTTCTACCTGGAACCAAAAAGGGTTCTCCTATGGGGACAGCCGAAGAAGCCTTTTGGAACTCTTTTTTTTCTAAGAGAGCGTTTGTGTGTGTGTGTGTGTGTCAGGTAGACAGGGACAGACAGAGGGGCCATGGGGAAAGGTCAGGTGTGGCCAGCCAGATGTAGCGCACATGTTTACAATACTGTAGTGTACAATAATACACTGAGCTCCATGGTACCGTTTACTTTGAGGTACTTGGTTGAGATACAACACAAGTTAAATATATATAAGGCTTACTTTATGTAGGCACTAGCAAAAACACAGATCTATGAATATGGGTCACCAACACAGGAAGCCTGTCTCTTAAAAGAGTTCAAAGCTTGTATGTCTTTAAGATAACAGTCAGCACCTTACCTCTGGTATATGATTCAATGATAAACTATGAAGATGGTTTAAAGCTATGGGAGGGAAACAAAACAAAAAAACTGACAGAGATCACATTTCTCTCTACAGTAGGCTACCAAAAGAGGCTGGCACATGCTTACCCGACTGACACTATTCTCTGTGTTGTGGCCTATGGTGGGAAACAAGAGACATGTTCCAAATGGCACCTTATTCCCTATATAGGGCACTTATTTTAATCAGAGTCCTATACTGTAAGTCCTGGTCAAAAGTAGTGCACAAAAAGGTAATAGGGTGTCATTTGGGACACAACGAAAGACACCGTAGTATCCTGAAGTCAGGTCAATGATTCATTTTTAATGATGGAAACCGACTACGGACTGAATCTCGATGGAAACTGAAGACAGGAGAGATTAATTATTCAATGACTATTCTATGTCTACGTATAAACTGCTGTGAACTTCATAAAGGTTGGAACTTTGAATTGTTCTCACATCGCTTTTGCACCTGCTTTATGGTATGGCTTGTAATAGGGATTTCAGAACTCTTATAGGCTATGATGTGGCGTTTCCTATAATTGTGGCCACCCCAAAGTCATAGGCACTGGTTCACCTAATAACGCTTTAATCTATTTTAAACATTTAATATTGTCCTTTTTCTATTTGTTTCCACAAGTAGGCCTATTCCGAAAATGAAAATGACCTATAAAAATGATCAATATTAGTTCAATTCATGGAGTACAGTATGTTCTTTGAGGCTATTTTTGCGCGTGCATGATAGTTTTGCGGACGCGTTCATCATTGTTGAAGAAGCAAGCACGTCAGAACGCTGAGCGCTATATCAAGCAGGGGGACGTCGCTCGCTCGCGAATAGCTTTTGCAAAAACGACTAGCTAGTAGTGTGGGAATGTTAGCAACAGCGTAGCACCAAATACGGCCGAAATGACAACGATTTTACTCCTTATATGATAGTTATGAAGACCGTATCATTATAGATACGGTTATAATTTCTTGTAAGGACTCTGCTGAACAGCGAACACGGCGCTGCTTTTCCCGGCAAGGGGATTGGAGACCTCATCATTTCCGAGTTTTCGCAGCAGTACAGGTCAGCTTAAACGTTTGCCTTTGCTTTGGTATTCCTCTATGTGTGTGTATAGCTAGGTTAGGTAGCTAGCTAGCTACATGATTTAAATTAACACGTTCTAGTTAATATTGTTAAACTAAGTTGACATTCTGCCAACCCAGCACACAAGTTTAAAAAAATAAAGTTGTGTAACTAACTAGCCATTAGCAATGCTAACGTTAGCTAACTAATAACGTTAACTTGCCTGGAAAGTCGAGGTGGAGTGGAGATGGACCCAGAGTCCGTTTAAGCACTCGCTTAGACTGCTCTGCATTTCATTTGAATCTGATAAGGTAATTGGTTAGCTAAATATTTAGCCACACAAAGTTAACCAACGTTAACTAGCTAGCTAACGTTATGGACCTAGCGTGCATCTAGCATTAACGTTAACTCCACATAACTGCTACCTTGACTGTATGATGTTGCGTTCCTGTAAAGTTAGCTGCATTGGTGGATAAGGCCTTTTCAAGTCGAACAAACGTTGATCGACGTTACAATCTCGTTTTGCTGAAATGTAACGAGCTACTTTAAAGCTATAAATTAACTATAGGTAACAATGACGTTGTCACTGGCAACTTTTTTCACAATAGTTTAGCAAACTAGCTAACTAAGCTCACAAGAATTATCCAATTGACACGATAACAACACGCTTGTTCGTTAACGTTACTAAACCTAAATGGTGCAATGTGTGAATACATTGTCACTTATCTAAAAGCTATCTATCTTAGCTAAGTGGCTGCGTTGTGTATGAATAGTTGTGTGTGGCGGTGTTGACTGTTGTTTCGCTAACAGTTAGCAACCTTCCTAATTATGAATTTATTAACATGGATAATCCAATGATTAGGTGCTCTGATATGTAGACTGGTAAATTATTGCCTGCCCTTTGGATGAACTATAAACTAGATGCATACACTGAGAAAGTCAGAGATGGATGGGACTTGGAGCAGTCCATTTCCTTGACCAGACACACATACACCGTCCCATAAACCTCCATGCACATCCCTTAGCCCTGATACAGAATAGTTGCATTCAACACTTAGCTGTGCATTTACAAAACATTATTGTTATTTTAAGCCTTGTCTTTACTGATTTGAAGAGAACTCTCAGCTTTGTCCAAAGTGTAAAACAACCTCTCCTTACTTTTGTCTTTGATTATTTCCATCTTGATTGTAGATAGCCTAGCCATGGGCGGCAGGTAGCTTAGTGGGTAAGAGCGTT